TGTATCTCGCGCCCGAGAGGCCAGACATTATGTATGTCTTGAAGAAGCTGTCAACAAAGCTCGCATCACCCGTTGAAGCAGACATGGAGCTGCTAAGGTATGTTGGAAAGTATCTCAAAAGAACACCTGAACTTACGTTGGTACACCGGGAAAGCTATCCTGGAAAGAGTTTTCTGGAAGTGAAGAACAGAAGCAACGAAGGAAAGGTTGACAGAGACAACTACAAGATGCCAGCGCTCATAGAAGTGATAAGCGACAGCGACTGGGCAGCAGATCGAGAGTCAAGGCAAAGTGTTTCATGCGGAGTGATCATGGTGAATGGAAACCTGGTTCATTTCCAAAGCAAGAGACAAAAGAGCGTAGCATTGTCATCTTGCGAAGCTGAGACAATCGCGGCAACATCAATCTTAAGCGAAGGTGTATTCCTGAAAGGATTGCTGAAAAGAATCCTAGGAGTTGAACCAAGACTGATGTTATACAGTGATTCGTCAAGCTCAAGACAGTTGATCTCAAGAAAAGGCTTAGGCAAGGCACGCCATTTACAAGTGGACCTTTTGTGGATCCAAAGAATTCCGAAGCTCATTATAAAGGCGATAGCCGGTAAGGACAATCCCTCAGACTTAGGGACCAAATCCCTGACACGGGAGAAAATGCGCAAGTATATGCTAAGCCTAGGATATACAGGTGAATTTTTGACACCAAGTGCTCAAGAAGTTCAAGAAGCTGAAGTGAGAAGAACAAGATCAAGAAGTGTTACAAGACTTGATGAAAGGATGATTACAAGGATTATCCAGACGGTTACGACCGCAGTGTTGTTATCGTTGACTGAAGCAAGAAGATTCGGTGAAGAAGCTGAACAAGGACTGGGATTAGCAAGTGTAGTTTGCATTCTGTTGTGCATGTTTACAGCAGCGATCATGCATAAAATTGCAAGCGCAGCCATTTTGCTCAAGAAAGAAGATAAGTGTATAAGAGCAATGGCCGATGACGATGCAGTCAAGTACATGATTACCGAAAGAAGCAGAAGCATCGAGACGACCGAGTACCTCCGAAAAGTGCTAAGGTCAGAAAGAAGTGAGAGACCAACAGCAGATGACCTCTGGAAAGAAGTGGAAGCTCTCAATCAGAAGTATCGCGAAGACAAGCAGACGGATGAAGAAAAAGAAGAGCAGCCGAAGAAAAAGGAAGAAAGTGAAGCTGCGTCGGATCCAGAGGCCGATGATGATGATGAAGAGTCAAAGGAAAGTGATTCAGCGGAAATCGACGAGAAGGAAAAGGCAAAGAAAGAAAAGAAGATCGAAGAAAGAGAAGAGACGATGGAGACATTCAAGCAGACCGCTGAAGAATTGGCTCAAGAAGCAGAGAAGATGGAGAAACCAAAGAAAGAGCAGAGAAGGATTATGAAAGAAATGGCCACAGGAGCTTATGTGGGCATTATCGTATGCATTTTGTGCATTCATGGAACAACCGCAACCGCAGGCATTTCGGCCCACAGCAAGAAGGATCAAGAGGCTGGAGATACAAGCAAAAGGATGGAAGAGGTGATGGACATCTTGATGGTTACACTAAGCGCTATGGGAATAATCTTCCTGATCCAGCAAGTGATGAAAGGATGCAAGATCCTGCACCAAAAGGTCAGATCGCCGAGAGGCGAAGAACTGGTGTATGTTTACCCAACAAGACATGTCTATCATAAGCGCACGTGCAAGTGGTGGAGCCCGCCGCCTGCCACGCAAGAGATGTCTATCGAAGCTGCAATAAATAAAGGATGCAGGTCATGCTGGGTATGTCACCCGGCGGACAGAAGAAACTACCGTGCTGAAAGACCTTCAAGCTCGTCGCGGACCACAGAAGTATGCACGGCAACATGCGACTGGTGCGGTGAAAGTCGTTGCGCACGCCACAAAAGAAATCACCACACCCACAGTTGCGTGGAATGCATCCGTGATCACGCAGAAGAGAACTGGAGACAGTGGGAGTATGAAGAAGAACATACACAAGGAAAAGCATCAAGTGATCAGCGACCAGAAGAGCTCACAGATCAAGAATGGGCTAATATGACGCTAGCTCAAAGAAGGGAAGCCCTAGCAACCATGGGACAGCAGCAACTGGGAGACACAGCACGCTTAACCTACGAAGCGTTTGTCGCCGGATCCCGGCAGAGAGCTGAAGAGCTGACCCCAGCACTACTTCAGGACCTAAGGGAAGAGCAAGAGGAAGAAGATCGAGGCCTCGATACACTGATTGAAGAAAGGTCACAAGTTCATCGCCGAGGTCAAACAAGTGAAGGATTAAGGTTTAGATCCAATAGCGACAACAGTGACGATGAAAGATCAAGACTCCGACGTCGAGTTCAAGCTGTAAGTGCTACAATGTCCCCAGGAACGCCAGATAGCACAGAAGCAAGGACCCAAGGGCCCTTGGGATTTGGAGAAATGTAGATGCGGTTTAACAGCAAGAAGGAAGAAGTATGAGGGCGAAGCGTCGCCCATGGCAAAAGAGAGTGAGGGCGATTTCCAGCCCAGGGCAAGCAGTGAGGGCGGAAAAGCCGCCCAGGGCAAAGCGTTTGTTTCACAACGAAAAGCTTCTGGACAAAGCTTGTGAGAAGCGTGGCAAGAAAGATCCACAGGTGGAAAGAAAGATCTATAGCCACGGCCAAGCGGACTAAGTAACGGTCCCAGCGGCACACGTCAAAGCACCACGAGCACAACGATGGTTTAAAAGCCAATGACAAAAGGCTGAAAGAGCCAATGCTGAAAAGAGGCAAAAGGCCTAAGAGCGGTTAGTCCAAAAGAAAGCCGCAAAAGTTCCAATTGCCGAAGAGCAAGTATGGACCTACATCGCGAAGCGCGACGTGAAGAAAAAGTGAGTGTGCATTTAGATTCTGAGTGAGTCCATGCCAATCGTGTGTGGAAATTCACGCAATCTGTTATAGGACATCTGAAGATTGAGGATGAAGAAGAAAGCGAGAAGGCCAAAGATGTTCAACAAAGTGCTTAAAGAAGCGTGCGACAAGGGAGCTTGATCTTCACAGGTCAAGGATAAAGCTCACAGGAGCATGCGAAAAGCGTGGTAAATGTAGAAAAAGTTTCACAAGGATCACGTTACACGACAAAGCTGTGTACGTGATGAGGGCGTAACAGATAGTTCAATTTTCCCTCATGCCCATTTACATACAGGAATCCAGTGTTTCACCGAAGGTCAAACGTAGGCTCAAGCCAGCCGACAGCGGAGCTCGGTAGTGAGAAAAAGAATCCAAGCTCGCGCCGTGTTTATAAGAAGTATACTGGTATAAGGGTTTAAACTTTCAGTGATCCACCGCTACCGGCAGCACTGAACCGGCGCCGGCCGCTACAACAGCCACGCCGGCCACTACGACAACCGCGGACCCCACGCCGGCCTCGCTATGAACTTCCTGCAGGCAGCGGGGCAGGGGCCGGCCGCTACCACCACTGCCGCTACCCCTTCCTTCCCTCCTGTTACGGAGCGGAAGGGGAAGGAGGGCACTAAGGACAGGCGCCAGCCCGCCAACACCATCAACGTGTTCACCTACACGTGGACGCTACTCTTGGATGAGCCGGAGCGCTATATGGAGATGCTGAGGCGCTTGCTACAGACAGACAAGGCTATCAGAGAGGCGGGCGGCATGCCCAACTCCATCCGCTATGCAAAGGGGACCCCGATCTCCTGTGCGCTAAAGGGCAGGGGGCGCCCGCCACCGCTAGCCCACACTATAACAGCTTGCCGAAGGGCAAGAGCCACTTCTATTTGGAGCTATCGTGGTCCAGTATCGATCACGATCTCTGAGTGCACCGAGAGGGGGAAGGGCAAGGGCCCGCACCCCCGCTATGGAAAAGGTGAGGACGGCTACTCAGGACCATGATGAGAGCCTCTACTCGCTAGGCCATGAGGATGCCTCCCTCATGTGCCGCTATGCCCACCCTCAGGTGGGTCCCGCTAGGCACAGAGCAGACGAGCTGCTCGCTATGCTCCTGCCGAGCCGAGCTGCTATACACAGTTCCAGCCAGGACGCTGCACCTGGTCGCTGCGAGGTGTGCACGCTACGTGCCTGCAACAGGCGCATGTGGTGGAAGATAGATGACCACGCTACGCACTGCTGCGATGGCTGCAAGAGGTGGTCCAAGGGGGAGGACTATACGGCGGCCGCTAGAAAGGGCAACCCCAGACCCGGACCTCCTAGATCGACACCGAAGAAGCTATCCCGGGGACCCCAACAGCCAGACGGTCTACGTGAGAATCTGGTGGGGACCTTGGGGCTATCCTGAGAGCTATTGGTGGACCTGGAAAGCGGCGTGTGGGCTTCGGCTCACGTACCACATGCCAGTGCCATCGTTCCCGCTAGACATGCTACTCTATGCCGAAGTTACCTCTTCCTCATGGCGCTAGACTGGGAACGTCCCTTCCTTGGTCCGCTACACGCTTGGTCGTCGGCTATCCAAGGGAAGCCGGGCTACCTGACGCTGCCCACGATGATCCGGGTACTATGTGTGGCTGTCGGGCGGCCGCCTACAGCGACCCGCCCCACCATACTGTGGAAGGAGCGGCGCCGCTATCCTTCGACACAGATGCTAAGGCGGAGAACGGCCGAGCCTGGATTGGTGGCTTGCTGGAGCTAGTCGACGGCTGCCATGGCCGTTGGTTTTTGCTAGAGGTGAAGAAGGAGTGGGCCCCCTGGGCCTTCGCTAAGGGTGACCCGAACAAGGTCATCGCGCTGCTAGCTGCTAGCCACTCTGGTGGGAGTGAAGCTCTGGGTCCGGGAGGGGAACGCTCAAAAGACTTCGGGTGTCGCTATCCGAGGGTACACGGACAACCAGTCCAACGAGGCGCTACTGAAGTCCCTGCCCCGTGCACGTGCCATCGTGCCCGACCTTCCTTGGGTCCTTGATTGTGATCTTGAAAACTTTCTTGGGCCGGTCGAGGAGTTGCTTGGGGCCTATCAGGAGCAAGAAACTTCTGCAATTCGGTCTCGATGGAAGGCGATGCTGCGGGAGGACACGGCCCGCCAACGTGCTTTTGTCAAATCCAGGGCTGATGCCCAGCTTGAGCTTGAAAAACGCTGCCCCAGCCAAGAGGAGGCGCAAGTCGCTGGCCCGGTGCATCCATCCCATGTGGTGCGAGCTCAGGCCCATGCTTGGCTTTGCAAATGGGAGTCCGAGCCTAAACCCAACCTTGACGCCATTGCGAAAGTTCTTCAGAAGGTACCGGCTGTTGAGCCCACGCGCGTTGGGGTTCAGTTTGACCCTGAAGCACTCAGGGCCATTGCTGTTTCATTTTCAAATAAGGCCGCTGGGCCAGACAGCTGGCGTGCAAAGGACCTGGCACGACTGCCTAATAGGTGGTGGCACGCTGCCGCGCAGCTATGGCAGCAAGTGTGGGATAGGGGCCAAGTGCCAAAGTTATGGAGGTTCGCCAAGGTCACCCTGATCCGTAAGCGAGGCGGACCTAAAACCCGACCGATTACCCTTACTCAGGTGATTTGGCGCGTTGGGACCAAGCACATAGCGCGAGCACTTCGTCCCTGGACCCTCAAATGCGCTTCTTCCAGTGACCACGGTGGCCTTCCGGGCCGCTCCACTTCGGACGTGTTGTTCCAGCTCCAGGCTGCCATAAAGCGAGGGGTGAACACTGCTGCTTTGATGGACGTTGCCGGGTACTTTGATTCCCTTAACGTGCCGGCCATGCGACAGGTCTTCGTTAGGTTAGGCGCACCACCTCAACTGCTGCCACTTCTCGAGTCGTTTTATTCCGATGCCAGGCGGTATTTTAATTTCGAAGGCTCGTATGACCCAGGCGTTCATGTGGTTCGTTCGGGCTTTGGGCAAGGCTGCCCCCTTTCGCCTTTAGCGGCGGCAGCCTTATCCCACTGGTGGAGTGAGTATGTCAAAGCATCTTCTGCTAATATTGGTGCTCAAATTTTCATGGACGACCGCACCCTCTGGGTTGAACCCCAGGGCTCTCTTCAGGACCTTGATGCCGCTTTACATGCAAGTGCAGACTTTGACCAGGCTTTCTCGTTGCAGCTCGCGGAGGACAAATGTTTTGTTGCTGCCAAGCACCACACGGAAGCCACCCGCCTCCTCGCTGCCAAGTGGAACTTCCTGACCTGCGGGTCCCTTGAGCTTTTGGGTGTGTCCTTTAACTTTGAGGGAGCAGGGGCTATCCCGAAATTTTCGCTTCGAAAAGCGGTTCTCCGGTTGAGATTGCTTCGGTGGACACAAGCCGCAACCACTTCTCGAATCATGCTCGTGCGGTCGCTCGTCATGCCTTGTTTGGCATGGGCGGCAGGTTTCGCAAGACCGAGTGAAAATGATGTCAAAGCTGTGCAGCATGAAGTTCGCTTCCTGTTTAATTCTGGGTACGGTGGTGATGTGGCCACGGTTGCTTTCTATGAGCTGTTAGGTTGGGGCTTAGAACCGTCTTTCGCCCTCGATATGGGCCTGTGCCGACTGTTCTGGCGATGGGTCTCCAAGCCGCCCGTTTGGCAGGAAGAAGTCCCGATAGGACACTGTCCAGGGCGCTGGCATGTTCAACTTCCCGAGACTGAAAGCCTGCTCGCTCGCACGGGATGGTGGTTTTCTCGTGACGCCACTGCTTTGTGCAGAAGGGATGCTGCTGGAGCCCTTCGCAAGGTACACATCGGCCTTGAAAGTTTTCGTATCGTTCAGGATTGGCTTGAGGGGTTCTACCGTCAGCAACACCTCGGCCGTTGCCGGAGAGTGTCCCAGAGCATGCACCGGGTGCTTGGGGATGATACCGCTCGTGGCCTCGAGCTGCCAGCTCCTCCGCGGGGTTTTCGCATCCAGTTGCAAGGCCACAAAAGGGTTCTCGCTGACAGATCGTCGCTCTTCCATCGTAGGGCGGCCTTTCTTTCAGGCGGCACCACGTGGCACTTTTAGAAGAGAGTAGGGCCTCGCCGAGACCAGCTTTCGGTGCCTTTGCGGGGCACTGTGGCCGAGCCGTGCTCATTTGCTCTGGGTGTGTCCTTCCACTGACGACCTCAGGAGTGGCCTCGAGGCTCCCAAGCACAGGGGCGAGGAGCGGTTACTGGCCAAACACCTTGCCGAGCCTCCGCTCCCACCGCCTGCTGTTGATGCGGACGGCCTGGTAGATGAAACGGCAGACGCCATTCTGGCTGAGATGTTGGGGGCCACGTCCATTGCGATTGCGACCGATGGTTCCTCGAAGGACGGAGTGGCGGCCCACGCTGTCGTTGTCAACACTGCCAAGGCGGCCGAACAGCTCCACAACCACCTCGAATGCCTTCCCCGCGTTTGTGCTGCCACTGCCAGCGACGCCAGCCCTCCCCCAGGGACTGGTGTTTAGGGTTTTAGGCCTGGTTTCCCAACCCTCTTGCGTAATGGCACTACTGTGCTCTGGACTGCTGCGGTGCTGCTGGCTACTGAGCTGCCTGAGCGCTGTGGTGCTGTTTGCTGCTGACTGAGAGCCTACGGGACTCCTGGACAGGACTTGTGGCTCGGATGGGGCACCACAACTTCTTGCTCCTCTCCTCGGCTCTCGTTCGACGGTGAGCCGCTGCCGCTGACAAGTTCTACCTCGGTTTCGGCTGTCTCTGGCTGACTGACGTTTCCTGGCTTCTGGCTGGGCTACTGCTGCTTCGCGGCTGTGGTGCTGCTGGCGCCGCTGTGGGGCTGCTGAGGCGAGGTGGACTGAGCTCAAACAACGCCGTCACGACTGAACTGCTGTGTACAGTCTTTCTGTAGGGTCCGCCCTCATGTGTTGCTTTGCTGAACTAGCCGTATAAGAACAGTTGAGCTAGCTGCTCATCTTTATGTGTGCAACGAGTTCACCCTGTACACCCCGAACTCCGATGCCACATGTATGTAAGTTGTAGGCTCCCGAAGCTGCTTGTAAACGTAGCGCAGCGGAGCTTTCTTCACTCGAGTGCCGAAGCCTCTCACGTCGGACCTCAGGCTACCGTGCGAGCCGGCATCTTGTACAGGTTTATTTTGATACTCGTTTCTTTTGCAGTACAGTGCATGAGACACTTGTATCCTGAAGACGAGAAGCTTGACACGTCGCTTGCGCTTGCGTGGGCGGCGCGAGAACTCAACAAGCAAAAGAGGCGCTACTGAAGAAGGCTATGACGACGAAGTTTCCCTCGACCCTGGTGCTGATGGAGCTAGCGGCTAGCGGAGGAGCTCTCCGCTAAGAACTGTGAGCTACAGCTACAGTGGATCCGCAGCGATCTGAACCAGCTAGCGGACGACCTCACGAACGAGAACTTCGCTATAGTTTCTCCCCGGACTTCAGGTTGGACCTGGAGGGGGAAAAGCTAGAGTGGCGTGTGCTGGGCCGTCTCCTCGAACGCTCGGCTAGCTACTTCCAAGAGCTAGGAGTGAGGAAGAGAACCGGAGCGCCAAAGGCTCCGAGGTTCGCTAAGAAGGCCCGAAATGCTTGGTCCCTGGTAACCCTACGGCTGCGCTAGGAGATTAGCCAGCCGAGGGTAGAGTTCTTGGTGTTGAGGGAGGTGGCGGGAGGATACGCTAGCTAGTGTACGCACTCGTGCCGAGGGACGAGGTACGACCGTGTATGCTAGCACAAGTATCCTTGTGTGAAACATCGAAGGTGTTTCGCTAGACAACGTCGCAGGGGTTTTCCTCTGAAGCTATAAACAGAACGAAGCCAGTCTGTTTGCTAGAGTGTCTGCACATGGCCGGTGGAATGTGAGCTACTCCGTGGCCATTGTGCTGAAAGGCCCCCTGCTATTGGGGGGGCAATTTTCGAGTGCCCACCCAACCCACCCTAAGGCTAGAGTTCTTCCCCGGGCTAACGCGGGACTTCGCCGCAACGCTAAAAAGAGAGAAGTTCGTGTTGTCCGTGCTACTGTGTGAAGCCAGTTAGCTAAAGCTCGGCTTGCTACGTACTCCCAGGAGGTGTTGAGGGAGGTGGCGGGTGAAGGGCTCATGGCTAAGATGTCCCTGGGCTGGGCGAGTTTAAGGCCCGCTATGGCGAGCACCGGGCCATCGCCGCGCTAGCTGTCATTGTCGAGGACGAGGCTAGGGAAGAAGAGGATGATCCACGACGCTACCCGCGGGGTCCGGTTCAAGATCCGGGCCCCGGGCACTAGGGAGAAGAAGCAGCTACTGCTTCGGGAACACATTGAGGCTAACGAGGTGGCCTTCTCCGTGGTGGGGGACATCGCTAAAGCCCACAAACGCTATATACAAGCATGCCGAAAGAGAGCATGGCTACCTCGGGTGTCAGATCGACACGGAGGAAGACATGCTACTCTATGCCGATGACCTCGAGTCCTTGGGCCGGGGGGCTAGGGGCCGCATGGGGATCCCGCTAAGTTACCTCTTCCTCGCTGGTCTTGGTTACCCGTTCAAGTGGTCCAAGACGAGGGGGGGGGCTTCGGGTTCTGTGGCTAGGCATGGAGACGAATTACTCCACGTGGAAGCAGGTCTTTAGCAGAATGTGGGGCGCCCTTTCGCACAAGGGCTAGGACGCCTCCATTTTGCCTCCACTGGGAACGTCCCTTTCTGGGACCGCTACATGCCGGGTCAAGGGAAGCCTGGCCACTTGACGCTGGGCACCTTGGGCTTTCGCTCTTTACGGCGACCCGAACAAGGTCATCGCCGCGCTAGAACTGCTAGCCACCCTGGTAGGCGTGAAGCTCTGGGTCCCCGAGGGGGAGGCTAAGAAAACCTCACGGGTCGCCGTCCGCGGCTACACCGACAACCAGTCCAACGAGGCGCGACTGAGGAGCTTTGGTTCAGCAGGTAGCTCCACGCGCTCCAAAGCGGGCAACGCCTAGGGTAGAGGCGGCAAACACTGCTGGTGTGTAGGAGGGTGCAGGCAATGGCTCCTTCCTCTGGTGGCCCGTCCACCTCGCGACTTCGACTTCAGCGACGACTCAGGGTCATGGAGACCCATCTACACCACGACGACGGCCCGAGACTACTCCTTTGGCCGTGGGCCTGCGGGCTCTCCGAACCATGGCGCAATCCAAAGAATCGACGCTGCTTCGGAAGCGGCAACCGGGGTGCATCCGAAGCGCATGGTGGCGCTGGTGATGCAAATGTGATGAAAGCCATCACCTCTTTGGTAGGCTTCATAGTGGCTAAACGTGCTGCCAACTTTGTCGGTGCACGGGCGGCTCAACGACGCATGTTGGCCATTGGTGTTGGTCCAAGCATGCCATGGTTTTGTGAGGGCGAGTTCGGTGTCCTGCTTGGGTTCGAAGCAATCAGCGCGTGTGAGGCGGCGGCTTCTTGCTGCGGCGGTGCAATCAGCGCTTGTGAGGCAGCGGCTGCAGCAATCAGTGCTTGTGACGCGGCGGCAGGTGGCAGTAAGGTCACCGACTGGACAGATGGAGTGGCTGCTGCTGCCGGCTGGGCCCGCGGCACTACGGCCGAAGGTGGCGATGAAGCCACGTATCCGAGGGACATCGCTGAGCGTCCTGCTGCTGGCGGCGGTGACGCAATCAGTGCAAGTGTCGGCGTTGAATGTCAGGGTGATTGTGCCTCTGGCGCCTGTCAGGTCGACGCGTTTACTGCTTTCGCAGACGATTGCTGTGACTTCAGCCTTGCCGAGATCGTGCACAGTGAGCCGCTTAAGGTTTGCTCCCCATACGGGCCCCCCCAAGAGCTCGAAACAAGATCCGATCAAGGACCAAAATGCAGTCGTGACGGGCCTCCCCCTGAGCTCGAAAGAAGACCCGCTGAAGGGCAAAAACTTCACGTAGTGTTTTCTTCTGTCCCGCTTTGTGGTTCCAACCAGGCCGGTGAAGCGGCGGCTGCTGCAATCAGTGCTTGTGGCGAAGCGACAGGTGGCGGTGGGGCCACCACAGATGAGGACTGTGCAGTTGCTGCTGCCAGCAGTGGTTGCAGCATTGAAGCTGAGGGTGGCAACGTTACCACTGGTGCTTGTGAAGCTCTCGTCGGCAAAGGTGCTGGCAACTGTGGAGCCAATGGGGCTAGCGAGTGTGTTGACTGCCGTGGCGATTGTGCATCAGGTGACTATCAGGAGGCTGCCGCAGTCAATGTTGGCGACCTGAAAATCACCAGGCTGCAGCTGTCTTCGAGGGCGGCGACGGCACGTCCTGGGCCGGCCGTTGCTGAGCGAGATGTGGGCGCAATCTGTGCATGTGAGGCTGCTGAGGTCCGTGATGGTGGCGGCGGCAACGCAATCAGTGAGTGCATTAGGTTTTGCTCCCCAAAGAAACAAGATCCGATCAAGGACCAAAATGCGGTTGTGACGGGCCATCCCAAAAGCTCGAAAGAAGACCCGCTGAAGGGCAAAGATCTCACATTGTGAGCTCCTCTGCCCTACTTCGTTGCCCTGCGGGGGCACCCCTGTTCCACCCTGCCTCGCAGCGCCTGTGCCATGGAAATGCCGAGGATGGGCTCTCGCTGAGCTCGGTGAGCGAGCGGACCGGACGACGCCGTGACAGCACTGTGCTGGACGACTGCGACGAGCTCTGCCGACCGCCTGCCTCAACCTCTCCCCCTAGGCTTGGGTTTAGTCCCCTCTCCCAGCTAGGGTTACCCGTGTGCTTTGCCACTCAGTGCACCCCTTGTGCAGGAGCAGGGCAGCCACAGGAAGTGCAGATGCATAACGACTACGAGTTCGAGTGTGATTGCGAATGTCAGGTTCTGAGAAAAAACATTCCACCTGTGACAGTACACCTGCAGGAACTACAGTGCTAATGCATAGGAACAGCCGTCACGCACACGCGACGTGCAGGCTCGAGACTACCAGGACACACTCCGCAGTCCAGGAAAAGTGTCCGCCTTTGTGAGAGTGTAGGAAAGCTTAGTGAAGCCCGTTCTTTAACATGGTAGCGGAGCTGCCTCCAGGAACCTCCTTGGCAGCGATGATGCTACTC